GCGCGGGGCCCCAGCTGCTCCGCGGCATGCGGGATCTTCCCGGCCCGGGGCACGAACCCGTGTCCCCTGCCTCGGCAGGCGGACTCTCAACTGCTGTGCCACCAGGGAAGCCCCTTTTTTATTTTTAAATTGGCGTATAGTTGGTTTACAATCAGCTATATGTATAGATATATATATCCCTTCTTTTTTGGACTTCCTTCTCATTTAGGTCACCACAGAGCATTGAGTAGAGCTCCCTGTGCTACACAGAAGGTTCTCATTAGTTACCTATTTTATACGTAGTATCAACAGGTGTATATATGTCAATCCCAATGTCCCAAGGGCTATACCTTTTAAGAGTATTACACTTTTCTGCTCATACAGAGATAAAATGTTGCAGAACAGAGAATAATACTTGGCTTGTTGGAGGTTTACAGGAACATGGTGACCTGACCTATGGGGACAAAGGATTCCTGCACCAAGAAGGTTGTAACAAGCAGCCACACCCCTCCCTCACCTTTTAAAATGCTTTGCTGCAAGCTTTCAGGTAGTTCGGGGTTTGGGGGGGCATGAGCCACCCATCTCCTTGCGTGGCCCTGCAATAAACCTTTCTCTGCTCCAAACTCTGATGTTTCCGTTTGGCCTCACTGGGCGTCAGGCACACAAACTTGCAATTGTTAGCAGTATTCTGTCGTATGGCTATACCATGATTTGTTTATAGTTTTTCTTATTACAAATGATGCTGCAGTGAACGTCCTCGTACATAAATCTTGGTACTTGTGTGATTATTTCCATAGGTTCAGTTCCTACATGTGTAACTGCTGGGTCAGATATTTTTGAGGCTTGTGATATCACTGGGGCCTGATTTCTATGCAGAAGAAGGATGAAAGTTACAGACTTCATAGTTGCAAAGTGTCTGAGCTGTAAGGCTCCACTGAGACCTTTTGACCAAATCAGCCCCTAACTTTGTGGATTGTGGGGACCCTGAGCCCCAGGGCCTCCTGGCTGGTTAGTGGCAGCCTAACCAGGCCTCCTGCCCACTTCTGAGCAACGTTAGTGTCCCCAAGTGACACCTCTGCCAGGCAGCTGGGACCAGGGAGAGGGACCTTGACAGGAGCCATGGTTGGTGGTGGCTCGTCAATTTTACAGACTTACCAAATGCCTCCATAAGCCAGATGCTTGGGCTGCAAGGGAAGGATTTGGAGATTAATAAGACACAGCCTGTGTCTGCAAGGAACTCAGAGACCAGTGAGGAGAAAGGCAAACAGATTGTTGCAGAATCTAAGTACTTAGGACTGTGATCAAGGTTAGGAGTCCAGAAAATGGACAGAGGGTTGTAGAACTAGGGGATTAGCGGAGGGCTGAGGATCAGGGGAGGCTTCATTGCAGGTGACGATCATCTGAGCAGGTCTCGCCTCTGGGCGAGTGAGCAGAGGAAGGCTGAAGACACAGTTGTAACGGCATCTTAAGGCTGGCAAGCAGGCTGGCGCTGACCGGAGACATTTGAAGATAGCCGTGAAGCTTTGGTGGACAGATGGGTAGGATGACTATAATTTTTTTTCCCCCAAACCAGGATGTCTTGAGTGAAAAGAGACATTATCACAGTAACTCTGGGG